TAACTTAAGAAAAAATAGATACATGGAAAAAAGGGGTGTATGTGAATATACCTATACACAAAACTTTCTTTAAAATGCACTATTCCTTTTGGTGGTACCTGTCAGGAACAGTACTTTTAATTGTAATTGTGTTAGATTTGCCCATATTTGTCTATGCTTTTCCCCCAGGTTAGTTGTATGACTGATTATTGTCATGCATTTTTGAGCTGGTTAGCTAGGACATAAGATAGATTCGAAGGCCATGAACTCTATGGTAGTCATTTCCTGAGTCTTTAATTGAACATATATTGATTGATTGAGTGTCTATTGTGTTTAAAACACTGTGCTGCACAAGGAAGTCTTAGTATATAGTCTTAGTACAGTCCAGTGAGAAAGACAATCATAAAGCAATGATTAATTTGTAATGTGTTGAGTGCATGATGAGATAGTAGGGAAACAATAAATCTGACTGGGAGAGTCAGGGAAGTGATTTTGAATGATCATTAGAACTTTTCCAGGTAGAGAAATGGGGGAAAGTCATCCAGGTTATAGAATATACAGAATGTGCAGAATGTCTGTGTACTTTGCTTTACCTAGCTCATCAGATCATATTTTCACTATTTTCTCCAAATTTCAAAAGAGTAAATTCTAATTTAATTTAGGTATTTTTGATGAGATCTTTTTCTCCCTTAGATGCTTATTGCAGTGTTCAGTGTGGCAGGATTGGATGTTTTCTCTTGGCTATATTAATCCTAAAAATTCTGAGGAACAGAAGATTACCGAGATGGTCTACAATATCTTTCGGATTCTTTTGTATCACGCAATAAAATATGAATGGGGAGGCTGGAGAGTCTGGGTGGATACGCTCTCAATAGCCCATTCCAAGGTAACAAGGGAGTTAACATTTTGTTTCATCAGGGTTTCATCAGTGGATTAAATGGCTGTAAACACTTCTCTGCTGCCATCTTGTGGGCATCTTAGATTTTGGCAGATTTCTTTATCCCACTTTTCCTGCTTTTCTCTTTTCTGTTTTTCCTCCCTCTGTTCATAGATTGTTAGAACTTGAAAGTATATTTTAGATCATTTAATTCAACCCCCAAGTTTATAAACCAGGAATTTTGGACCCAAAGGTGACACATATCTATTTTGCAGAAGATCTGAGAACTTGAATCTGAGTCAATTGCTATTTTAACGAAGCAGAATATTTCATGGAATAGTGTCTGAGATATACTTTTTAAGACATTTTTAAAGTAGTCAGAATATTTTTACATTTCTGAGCGAATCATAAATACATTTAAAATGTTTAAGTTTAGTGGTATTTCTGATTACATTACATTCTGATTACATTATCTTTTCTTTATTTTTAATCTTAAGACCATGTGTCTATAATTTAAATATTTGCCCTTTGGTAAAATAAAATAGTGATTTAAAATGTAAAGTATATACACATTAGATTCTGGAAATTCAGAGTTGTGATTTTTTGTCATGTAGCATCATAGAAGAAGCGTGAGTGTTAGAAGGTTGGCTTTTAATCCAGTCTATGCCATAATTAAGTTTTGTGATTTTAGGAGATTCATTTAATCCTTTTCAACAGGGGTTAACATTTTTTTGAAGGGGATAGATAGTAAATATTTTGGGCTGTGTGGGCTGTGTGACCTTTGGTGCAACAACTCAGCTCTGCTGAATAGTGTGAAAGCATCCATAGAAATATGTAAATGAACGAACATGGCTTTGTTGTGATAAAACTTTATTTACCAAAACAGGTGATGATTAGATTTGGCCCATGGGCCATAGGTTGCCAACCCCCACTTTTGGGACTTGCTTTCTTCTTATGTGAAATGGAGGGGGTTTTTATATTACGATAATCTTTACAGGAAAGTTCCTCTCTCTAAAATTCTGTTACCCTATCATTTAAATACAAATTAATATTATCTGTCTATCAGGAAGGATTTCGAACTTTTAAAAAACTTAGAAGACCTTTTATTTCTGTTATGAATTCCCGTTTTGTAATATACTGACACCTCACGTTTAGCATTGCTTTAACAAATTTGAAAACAGCAAAGAAAAAGACGTTGAAAGTCTTTGTCCAAAAAATATATTTACTGGGTCTCCTAAACAAGCCTATGTAAAGTAACAAATTCATAGTACCCTACATAAGAATAAAACTGTGATGTTTTAACAGTTTATAAATGTATATATTTATAGATATGTTTGAATTTTTTTTAGCCTCAGTTGTTGCAGTAGATTCACATAAGAGCAATGGATGGTTAAAACTGTTGTAGTAATAGTACTTTGGGTATTGTATATTGTTAGCTGCCATTTCTCTGGTTAAGCTTAAATAAATGTGTGGAAGTTAATTGGCATTTTAGGGTAACATTGAAATACTTAGCTTAAAAAAAACCCTTTAATATTACTAGCTTACCTATGTGATTTTTAGGCAAATCATATATAATAAGTTATATATAGCTATATTTGTTGATTATTTCCAATTAACTTAATGAAACTAAGCACTTGTTTTAGGATTAACATGTGTAAAATTAGAAAGCTTAAGCTTAGCACTATTTTTGCTATTGCCATCATTTTATTTTTTTCTTTTCGATATATACAGAATGCCTTAATATTTGCTTTACTTATTCTTAAGGTCACTTATGAAGCACATAAGGAATACCTAGCCAAAATGTATGAAGAATATCAGAGACAAGAAGAGGAAAACATTAAAAAGGGAAAGAAAGGCAATGTGAGCACCATCTCTGGTCTTTCATCACAGACAACAGGAGCAAAAGGTGGAATGGAAATTCGAGAGATAGAAGATCTTTCACAAAGCCAGAGTCCAGAAAGTGAGACAGATTATCCTGTCAGCACAGATACTCGAGACTTACTTATGTCAACAAAAGTGTCAGATGATATTCTTGGAAGTTCAGATAGACCGGGAAGTGGTGTACATGTGGAAGTGCATGATCTTTTAGTTGATATAAAAGCAGAGAAAGTGGAAGCAACAGAAGTAAAGCTCGATGATATGGATTTATCACCAGAGACTTTAGTAGGTGGAGAGAATGGTGCTCTTGTGGAGGTTGAATCTTTGTTGGATAATGTATATAGTGCTGCTGTTGAGAAACTCCAGAACAATGTACATGGAAGTGTTGGTATCATTAAAAAAAATGAAGAAAAGGATAATGGCCCATTGATAACATTAGCAGATGAGAAAGAGGAACTTCCCAATAGTAGTACATCATTTCTCTTTGATAAAATACCCAAACAGGAGGAGAAACTCCTTCCTGAACTTTCTAGCAATCACATTATTCCAAATATTCAGGACTCTCAAGTACATCTTGGTGTTAGTGATGATCTTGGATTGCTTGCTCATATGACCGGTAGTGTAGACTTAACTTGTGCATCAAGTATAATAGAAGAAAAAGAATTCAAAATCCATACAACCTCAGATGGAATGAGTAGTATTTCTGAAAGAGATTTAGCATCATCGACTAAGGGCTTAGAGTATGCTGAAATGACTGCTACAACTCTGGAAACTGAGTCTTCTGGTAGCAAAATCGTACCAAATATTGATGCAGGAAGTATAATTTCAGATACTGAGAGATCTGATGATGGCAAAGAATCAGGAAAGGAAATACGAAAAATCCAGACAACTGCTACGACACAAGTAAGCTATATTACATAAGTTCTAGAAATAAATAAAAATGCATTGGATGGATATTGAATTGTTAGCATGAAAGCAGAGTAAATTTCTTACCCATTACACCATATTCGTATTGAATTATGGTATAATAGTAATTTATGGAATTGAGTAGTATGGTTGCATATATATAAAGAAATTAAAATATCTGAATTATATTTCCAACTCTGCCACATTCTTCTGTGTAACTTTGCTCAACCTCTCTGGGCCTCAGTTTCCTTATATAGTACAAGAGTTTGTACTAGATTAAAATGTGACCTTTAAGGTCTCTACCAGTTCTAACATTTTATGACTGTGACTACGTTTACACATTTTGTACTCGAGATCTTCATTCTGAATGCTTGATTAATTTTAACCTTTTAAGCTTCAGGCCCAACCCTGTTCTGTGGATTATAGAAAGGAGCACTTGGAGCCCAGATTGAACTGATAAATGAAGGGGAAGGGAAAAGGGAACTGTTATTTATCAAGTGCCTGCTATGTTCCGGGCACTGTGCTATATATTTTCAGATTTAATCCTCACAACAACCCTGTGAGGTAGGTAATATGGCTGAGAAAAATTAGAATTATGGGCAGTGAGAATTTTTTTTTATAACCACATAGATAGGAATTTGTTATGAGAAAACTTAGGTATGGTGGTTAGGAAATGTTAGTGCTTCAGTTTTGGCCTCACCGGAGTAAAATTAAAAACAGATGACGTTTTCTGATATGGATTTTAACTGGTGAGCCTTAAGTTATGACTCCTTCTGTATTTTCTAGGCTAAACAATATTCTGTGGTTATGAGTTTAAGAAATTGTAGTAATACTTTTACCCTTAACGATTTGGGCTTTGCTGTCCTCTGTGTGTTCCACTTGCCTACTAATGTCATCGAAGATAAATTTAATGTGTTTCCATTAGTTATAAAGAGTAAACCGTGCCTTACTGGTGTCTTTGTACTCCAATAAGAATCCTTAATAATCTGTGTGTGGGAAAGGTATTTTTATTTCTTTTCTAACTGCCAATTTCTAATTTTGTGGCAATTGCACTGCAGTGATAATTGGCAGGGGATGGGGATATTGAATTAGGTGCAGGTGTAAAATAAAGGAAAACATGGTGCATTGTTTATTGGATGGTAAGCTTGCCTGTTGAACACACTAGGCTTGCCTGTTTTTTATTTGGAGTTCATAGACATTTTTCTAGTTTGTTTTCTAACTTATCAAATGCATTTGTTGTTTAGAATTGAAGCATTGTGAGTGAAAAAGACTTTGAAGTTGATTTAAATGTGTTCAAGTAATATTTCTTCTAATGTTGTGTTTTAGTTACAATTAGTTGATGGCATAAATCCAGTATACTTCACTTCATATATGCTCATTTCCTTAAGGAAGTAATGTGGTTTAATGTAGATAACCTCATGAAAGAGTAAAGAGGATATGGTTTTCAATGTGAACTTTTGTGTTAATCTTAGGTATATGAATACCTTGCCCAGTTTCTGCAGTAGTAAAACAGAAGCAATAAATGGTAGATTTTTCAGCTCAAAAAGGTTCCTCTGCAGGGAATTACCACATGAATAATATATGTGAAATGTATTAACTTACCGAAGTCATATGTAAAAGCTTTACTCACTCACTTTACTATACTCACTGGTTCATTTTGAAAAGAGGTATTTCTTTTGTACTCCACAAAAGTTCACCTTTTCTTTCTTTAGGCTGTTCAGGGTCGGTCTATCACCCAACAAGACCGAGATCTCCGAGTTGATTTAGGATTTCGAGGAATGCCCATGACTGAGGAACAGCGGCGCCAGTTCAGCCCAGGTCCGCGGACTACGATGTTCCGTATTCCTGAGTTTAAATGGTCTCCAATGCATCAGCGGCTTCTCACCGATTTGCTATTTGCATTAGAAACAGATGTACATGTTTGGAGGAGGTAGAGATATTTCTTTTTTATAAATAAAAAGCAAAAATTTAAAATCTGGCACTGCCTGTTCTATGTAAAAGAGATTTAA